GTTTCCTATGATGTACTTGACATCCCCGTGGCTATTTTGTAACTGCCCGTCTGTACTTCTCAGTCCCTTCAACTTTTTCAGCTGGTTCTCCAACCCCTATCCCCCTGGTAAGCATCATTCTGTTCTCTGTATCGATGAGTCTGTTTCTGTTTTGTTTGTTTGTTTATACTGTTCTTTAGATTCCACATATAGGTAGAATTATATAGTATCTGTCTTTCTGATTTTACTTAGCATAACACCTTCTTGGTCTATTCATGCTATTGGAAATGGTAAGATTCATTTTTTTGTTTATTGCAAGTATATATGTACTTGTGTACATATTCCACTGTGTATATGTATCACCACTTTTTTATCCACTTGTTTATTTATTTATTTTAATTATTTATTGTTGAAAGTATTACATATACCTCCTTTTCTCCACCTTGTCCTCTCCCAGCCTGCCCCGCCCCCAGCCCCGGCCTTCACACACACACCCGCCTCCCCGTTATCTGTGTCCATTGGTTATGCTTATATGCATACAAGTGCTTTGGTTGATCTCTTATCTCCCCCAACCCCCCACCATCCACTTGTTTATTGATGGGCACTTGGATTGCTTCCATAGCTTGGCTATTGTAATGCTGTAATGAACATAGGGGTGCATATATTTCTTTGAATTAGTATTTTGTTTGTTTGTTTCATGTTTTTGTTTTTTGTTTTTTTGTGTGTATGGATATATCCCAGAAGTGAAATTGCAGGGTTTTAACGCAGTTCCATTGTAAAATTTTGGAGGAACCCCTATACTGTTTTCCATAGTGGCTGCAACAATCTGCAGTCCTACCAACAGTGCATGAGGGTTCCCTTTTCTCCACATCCTCGACCAATTGTTTGCTGATGTACTGATGATAGCCATTCTGATAGATGTGAGGTGATATCTCATTGTAGTTTTAATTTGCATTTCTCTGATTAGCGACATGGAGCATCTTTTCATGTGTCTGTTGGCCATGTGTATGTCCTCTTTGGGGAACTGTCTTTGTAGGTCCTTTGCTAATTTTTAAATTGGATTGTTTATGTTTTTGGTGTTGAGTTGTATGACTTTATAAATTTTGGATATTAACCTCTTATTAGATGTATTATTGGGAAATATCTTCTCCTATTCAGTGGGTTGTCTTTGCATTTTGTTGATGGTTTCCTTTGCTGTAAAAAACGTTTTAGTTTGATGTTGTCTCACTTGTTCATTTTTTTTTTCTCTTGCCCAAGGATATATATCAGAAAAAACTCAGAAGTATAAAAAATCCTAGTCATATAATTCACCATATTAGAGAAGAAAAATCCTATCAATAGATGTTAAACACACTTTTTTTGTAAATTCTCTCTTATTTTATTGTTTGAAGTATTACAAATAGTAATACATATGTCTCCTTTTTTCCCCAATTGACCTTCCCCCAGTAAACACACTTTTGACATTTATTAAGTATTATTCAGTATTAATAACTTGTATTAGAAAACAATGAAAGTCATAAGAATTGAAAAAGACAAGATTAAATGATCTTCATTTGGATGTGATATGGTGGTATAATTTGACATTAAGGTATGCAAAGGGAATTTCAAAATACGTTTTTAGTGAAATAAATTTAGGTGCGGAGCGATTTACATAGTGTTATCTTCTGTATATAAAAGTGGCAAATGATATGTTAGTATTTGTTTATTTCTGCAAAATAAAAACAGAAAGCACTGACTAAGAAATAACTCAAATGAATGAAGCTGAGAAGATGGGGAAAGGCGTGGAGG